ACAGATCGCTCGCCGCCCGGGCCCAAGGAGGGCCTCGTGGGCGGCGCCGCCCGCAGGAGACTTACCGCAGTGGCGAGGCCGCCCAGCGTCTGGGTGACGCCGAGCAGTCGATGGAGCCGTCCTGCGGCGCCGCGGCGTACGCGAAGGACACCTCCAGCACCAGGTCGTCCGTGCCCACGGCCTGGGGGGGGGAGGGGGGGGGTCAGTAGAGCAGGTTATGGGCGAGGTCAGGCGACGGGGGCGCGGCCGGCTAAAACAAAGGCTGCGGTGACCAAGGTCTATATAAGTACTTATATAGACCTTGGCGGTGACTGTCATGAGAGCGAAGCAACCAACTGGAAGGACATTTCAAGAGAGCGACGGGATCGTCACGCCCTAATATCAGCACAACATGTCAATCAGAGGCGCCTCTCGCCGAGGCAGGCCTTCGCAGAAGCCGCCCTCGGTTCGCCTGCGGCCCCGCGCCCTCACCGCGCGGCGGGCGCAGCAGGCGGAGCGAGGCGGCAGACGCGAGGCCGCCAGGGCGTGCAGCCCCGCCCGGGCACTCACGGAGCCGGTGGTGTTCACGTAGAAGGAGAAGGTCGCCGTCGCGCCCAGGTACTCGACCACGTCCTCCAGCTTGGGCAGGTAGGCGATGTTGCCGCCCACGGCGCCGTACGAGATGCCGCACACCGTGTCTGCGGGAGGAGGGGCGTCACTGGGGAGCCAAACAAGGCGGCCTCGCGGCCCGAGGGGGCGTGCTGCCACTCCCTGACAACCCAAAATCTCGGCATAACATATTCCGTCCACTAGCTGAGCGCCTCGTGCGTGGCCGCGAGCACGAGGCCCGAGCGCTCAAGGAACCCTGAGGACACCTACCTCCCGCCCCCGCCGTGACGGTGCAGTCCATGAGGAGTCCTCCGGCGGGCACGGTGGTGCGCACCTCGAACGTGCCCGCCCCGCCCGACTGCGCCTCCGTCACCAGCGGCGTCACCTGCGCGGGGAGACCCATTAGCAGAATCAAGGAACGGAAATGGAAAGAAAATATCACACTTGCCAGGCGCCATTCGCGGGCCCGCTTTCCCTTCCTTCATTTTGGCAACAGGAGACTTACGGTCAGGCTCGCCGGCGCCGCCCCCGCGGGCGTGTTGCTCCCCGCCAGGACGGTGACCGTGTGGTTGCTCGTCCAGACCTTGGTCGTACCGATCAGCACGCCCACGCCCACCTCGAAGGTCTCCGTGGCCTCCGCGTCGTGCACGAAGATGGTGAAGCCGAAGTCGAGCGCGTTCTCAGCCGCGTTGGCGCCCTCGGTGGCCAGGTCGGCTGCGGCGGAGAGGAGGGGGGAAGGTGAGGAGAGGAGGAGAGAGGGGGAGAGGTGAGAGAGGGTGAGAGGGGGTGAGAGAGGGTGAGAGGAGGGAGAGAGGGTGAGAGTGAGGGAGAGGGTGAAGAGGAGGAGAGAGGGTGAGAGAAGGGTGAGAGGAGGGAGAGAGAGGTGAGAGGAGGGAAAGAGGTGAGAGGAGGGAGAGGAGCAGGAGGGGTGAGAGAGAGGGGATGAGAGAGAGGAGGGAGAGAGAGGAGGGGGAGAGGAGGTGAGAGAGGGTGAGAGGAGAGAGGGGTGAGAGAGGGTGAGAGAGAAGGGAGAGAGGGTGAGAGAGGGTAGGGTGAGAGGAGGGAGAGAGGGTGAGAGGAGGGATCCAAGAGGTGAGAGGAGGACGAAGAGAGGGTGAGATGAGCGCTGAGACGGAGGGGTTGACGAGAGGGTGACGAGAGGGTGAGATGAGGTGAGGAGAGGGCGCGAGAGAGAGGTGACGAGAGCGCCGATGAGAGAGGGTGAGACGAGTGTAGAGAGGTGTGAGAGCAGGGGTGAGAGGCACGGGAGAGCAGGGGTGATACGAAGGGTGAGCAGGAGGGAGGAGAGGGGTGAGAGAGGAGAGAGAGGGTGAAGAGGAGGTGAATGAAGAGGTATGCTAGAGAGGTGAGAGAGGGTAGAGAGAGGCGTGAGAAGCAGGGGATGAGGAGGAGAGCAGGGGAGAACGATGGCGGCGAGAGGAGGGAGAGAGAGTGAGAGAGGCGAGAGAGGAAGACAAGAGAGATCGTGAAGAGGGGAGAGGAGGAGAGAGGGTGAGAGAGGCGAGAGAGGGTGAGAGGAGCATGGCTTCAGATTTCTCTATCTGGACTTGAACATGCAAACGTCTCCAACTAGGCCATGAGCCGACTCGGGACATATCAACCGGGAGAGGAGGGGTAGAGAAGAGGATGAGACGGAGGAGCAGAGGAAATCGAGAGAGGCGGGAGAGGAGAGAGAGAGGTGAGAGGAGGGTGAGGAAGGCGGAGAGGAGCGGAGAGAGAGGGCGTAATGAGAGAGGGTGAGAAGGATGGGAGAAATGACGATGAGAGAAGGTGATGAGGAGCGGAGAGAGGTGAGAGAGGGGAGGAGAGGGAGAGAGCGAGAGAGGGCTGAGAAGCAAGGCTGCAGAGAGGGTGAGAGGAGGGAGAGAGGGTGAGAGAGCGGGAGAGGAGGAGAGATATGAGAGTGGCAGAGAGGGTGCAGACGAGGGAGCGAGGGCGAGAGGAAGGAGGGAGATGAGGATGAGAGAGGAGAGAGGGTGACAGAGGGACAGAGAGGGGTGCACGAGAGGGAGAGAGAGATAGTGAGAGAGGAGAGAGAGGGTAGGAAAAGAGGGAGCGGGAGAGGAGGACGAGAGTGAGAGAGGGAACAGGCGATATAGAGAAGAGGGAGAGGCGGTGAGGGGTAGAGAGGGAGAGGAGCGGAGAGAGGGCTGAGCAGGAGGAGGACGAGCGGTGTTGAGAGAGGGGCGAGAGGAGGAGAGAGGGTGACTAATGAGCAGAGGCGGGAGCGTGGGAGAGAGGGGATGAAGGCGAGAGAGGGTGAGAGAGAGGAGAGGGTCGAGAGAGGACGAGAGGGGCAGGAGAGTCGAGGGAGAGAGGCGTGATAGGAGGGCAGAGGTGGGGCAGGAGAGGGAGAGAGGGGGGAGAGGGAGCGACGAGAGGGGAGAGGACGGAAGATGAGGGGGAAGAGAGGGGGCAAGAGGACGGGGAGATTGAGCGCGGCGAAGGTAGAGGCGGAGGGGACGAGGAGGAGTGGGAAGATGCGGGAGAGCGCAGAGGCGGAGAGGGTGAGAGAGCGGGAGCAGCGAGGAGAGAGCTGGGAGAGGAGGTGGGAGAGGGTGAGAGAGGGGGAGAAGAGGTGAGAGAGGAGGATCAGAAGGAGCGGCGGAGGGCCGGAGATAGAAATCTAGGAGAGAACCTTATAAACGAGAGGGGGAGAGGAGGGCAGAGAGCGGGAGAGGCAGGCGAATGGGAGGGGGAGAGGAGGGGAGATGGGTGAGACGCCTGAGAGGAGGAGAGGAGGGAAGATGAAGGACAGGTGAGAGGAGGGAGAGAGATGGGGAGTAGGAGGAGAGAGCGGGAGAGAGCGAGGGGGAAGAGGAGGGAGGAGGGGGAGAGGGGAGTGGAGGGGTGAGGGTGAGAGGCGGAGCAGATGGAGGGAGAGAGGGTGAGAGAGGGGGGGAAGGAGGGAGAGGGAGGGACAGAGGGAGGCAGAGGGTGAGAGAGGGTGAAGAGGGTGAGGAGGGAGGGGGGGAGGACGTGATGAGAGGGGAGAGGAGGGAGAGGGAGGAGAGAGGATGAGAGAGGGAGGAGGAGAGAGGTGAGAGGAGAGGGTGAGAGAGGGAGAAGGGGGAGGAGGCAGGGTGAGGAGAGGCAGAGAGGGGGAGAGTAGGGGGGAGGTGTGAAGCGAGAGGGGAGGAGGAGGGAGAGAGGAGGGGAGGGTGAGAGAGGGGGAGAGGAGGAGAGAGGGGTGAGAGGAGGGAGAGAGAGGGAGAGGGGGAGAGAGGGGAGAGGAGGGAGAGAGGGGAGAGGAGGGAGGAGGAAGGCGGGAGAGAGGCGAGAGAGGGGGAGGGAGAGGGGAGGAGGAGAGAGGAGGAGGGGAGGGTGAGTGAGGTGGTGAGAAGAGAGGAGCGGACGGGGAGGGTGAGAGAGTGGGGGAGGAGGCGGAAGAGGAGCGGGATAGAGAGGGGGGAAGAGCGAGAAGGGGTGAGAGAGGAGGAGAGAGGGGCGCGGGAGGGTGGAGCAGGGGCGAGAGGGGTGAAGAGAGGGGGAGGAGGAGGGGGGAGGATGGGGAGAGAGGGGGGAGCAGGCCGAGAGAGACGGGTGGAGAGAGGGAGGAGGTGGGCGGAGGGTGAGAGAGGGTGAGAGGGGAGAGACGAGAGGAGAGAGAGGGTGAGAGGAAGGGGGAAAGAGGGTGAGAGGAGGGGCGAATTGAGAGGAGGGTGAGAGAGTTGGAGAGAGGAGAGAGAGGAGAGAGAGGGTGAGAGGAGTTGGAGGAGGGGGGAGAGAGGCGGAGAGAGGTGAGAGGGTGAGAGGTGAGGGAGATGAGAGGAGGGTGAGAAGAGGGGGAGAGGGGAGAGCGGAGGTTGTAAAATCTCAGGAAATGACCATTCCCTAAAGAAATGATCAGCTGATACTCGACTATGCACAGAAGGCCTCCTCATACGCGCGACATATGTAGTTTTATTTCTTGTTGATTAACAACGACTTACACAAATTGTAGTTAACTGCCTTTCATATTTAGCGTTACGTGTCTGTTTATCTTCTACTTGCTGCAGAATGAGGTAATGGTGAAGCTGTACTCGGAAACGATACTGCTTTTGGCCTTTTTACCGCCATCTTTATAGAGACGATGCTCAAAAGTCACTAGTTTGTGTTTGTGTTTCATCATTGCCGAACGAACAGGAAGTCAGACCGCAACTGTGAATGACCCTTCGCGTGAATTCATGAACAACCAGCGCCGCTCTGACCGTAGTTGAGGTTCATGAGGAGGAGGCTGGTCTCGAAGTGGGCGCGGTGGTTGGCGCGGCCCGTCACGCTCTCGAAGTACGAGGTCTTGTCGAACTCGGGCAGCGTGCAGGCCCAGTCGCTGCCCTTGGTCCGGAGGAACACCTGCGTCACGCTGAACTTGTCCTGAAAGCACACGCCTTGGAGTTTGTCTCGCGGCTATG